AAAGGAAGATTTCAAAATAAATATTTCGGAGACAACTTGTTTTGAATCTCATTATCCAACCAACTTCTATAAATCGAAAGGAGACTGCGACCAAACCAGAGGCCACATCTTGGTCTTCATATCTTCAAATAAGCATTTATAGCCTAGCCTGCATGCAGGAAAGTGTTGCTCATAGAAGAGTTTATTTAGCATGAAAATTGGAATCCTCTTTATTAGTGTTAATGTGACTTGCGCCACTATGCAATGAGATACTCGTTACAGCACAATTCATTCGGGCCAGATTTAAGGCTAACAGGAGACTCAGAAAGATAACAGATTCCTGTAATACTCTTAGATTAGCAACGAGCGAAAATAAGACCAGTTGGAAGACCATGTACTAGAGATAGTCCTAATAGATGTCTCGAGTAAATAAGTAAAGATATCCCTGTATCTGAGTAAAATAATGATAGATAGCTTTGAAGACTGATAGAAATTAAAACCTCCAAGCTCTTACGTTTAACCAGGCCATTGGATCATTAGAAACTTGCAAAACAGTGGAAGAAGTAGTAGTAGGAACAGTAGCCCCTCCAGGAGATGACGAAGCTTGCCCAGAACTGCTGGACCCAGATGCGGGAAGGAAGGCAGATGTGGTGTAAGTCATGTTGCCTGTGCAGCTAGGAGTTAGTTTGCCAGTGACAACAGATGAACCCGATAGGGGCCCCGAAATGCAACTTGATCCAGCTGTACTGCCACCACACCCACCTGCAAGACTGTTGATCAGTGTGGTGACGGGCGAATACATACAATTGACAGCTAGACAGGCTCTTTCCTGCTCTTTGAGAAACTTGACGGCTGCTATACCCCCATCGACCTTGAGCACAACACCTACCGGTTGAGTGCGACCATCCTCAACGAAAATGACATCGGAAAGGCACCAATCCTCTTCTTCCGGGGATGCGGAAGAAGAAATACAAGTGTTGTTGGAAGTCGCCTGTCGCTTGGCAGGGAGAAGACCAGAAAAGCTCACTCCGCTACTTGCACCAGTAAGCTCCCGATCAACGGAGCGACGTCGCAAGGAACGAGAACCGGACAAAGATGACACTCCAACAGTGGAAGTAGTTTCCCAATCTGTCACTAAACGCTCTTGTCGTTGTTGAAGTTGTTCTCTCTCTCCAGATATGCTTGGTGCTTTTTTACGATCTGTATGAGAAAAAAGACGTAGAAATACATGCTTGCGTCAGCGTTCAAACAGCTAAGAGGACATAGACAAATAATTTTCATTGTGCAGTTTTATACAAAGGCTAAATGAAGTCGTACACTTGAATATACCTTTCGAAAGAATACAAATGTAAAATTATATAAGCGAAACAGGACAGAATAAAGCTATACATAAAATTATTGTTGATAATTGTTTCTATATGCTCCTACGGATGAGGACAGTAGAACTGACAAAG